CACGCAGCCTGGCTGTGGGAAGGTGGTGGCAACACCCAAGGAATCCCCACTGTACAAGGAAATATTTTTCCTAGCCTTTTCACAGGCTGTTGAAGGGCCTTGGAGGCAGCAGTGGTGCCGGGGCGCTGCGCTCCTGCCAGCAAATCCGCCGTGTTGTGGTCGGCTGCCTGGCAGTGCACCCAGCCCCGAGGAGTTTGGAGCCCAGGCCCAGCTCCTGGGCAGGTCAGGGGCCCTGCTGCAGTGACCATAATGACAAGGGATCCCCTCAGGCCACCCCTTCTTTAGAAGAAGGAGGTTCTTGGCCTGTGTCTAGTGAAAGTGCTGAAAAACATAGTCATCATGGACTCTAGCAGAGCAACCAGTTAGGGATTATCCTCAGTTCCTGACATGGCCCAAGCAGATCAGGGTGCTGTATCTCTCTCAGCATTTACAGATATAAAGCCCATAAATGGCACAAAACATGCAGGAAAACGTGTGTCTGTCTGTGTCTCTTGCTTTGGCTCTGGGTGAATTCTCTTACAACTCAAGCTCCAGGCCAAGGGAGAGATTCTGATGCCAAGCTCTACCCCTACCTTGCTCTGAGGCCCAAGGCAGCAAGCGGGAGCGTGTCCGTGCAGGGAGTGTGACAGCACAGGCAGGGCCGCTGCCCAGCAGTCCTGAGAACTGATGGTCTCATCCCTTCCAATGGCGCAAAGAGGCCTCGTGGGACAGGTCTCACCCCTCTCTGTGTCCTCAGTAATATTCAGTATTGATGCTCACTCCAACCTGCCTTGAGGTTTGAACACTTGCAGATCCAAATCAGGCAGAATCACTTGGCCCAGGGACCACAAAGTGTCAGTCACTCTCTGGTGCGGCTGTCATGGGCACTACGTGTTGCCACAAGGACTAAGTGCCATGGACTCTGGAATCCGAGCTCCCGTGTTGTGCTATGATCATGCAATAGTTCTCCCTCTTGCAAGTTCCTAAAAAGGCATGGGAAGATGTAGAGATCCCAGGAAAACATAACAAGCTCCTGGAACAAGTTGTTCTCCCTCGCTGTTGACTTTCAGCCGAAAAGCCTCACCTTGCCATAGGTGTTACGTTCCTTCTTTCCAGACTTCGCATGGACCCATCGGAGTGGTGGAACTTGCCATTTTTCGGCTTTCTCTCTCTCCAGCTAGTACCAGCCTGGTGTGCAAAGGTCCAGGCAGAAACAGGTACACAGAGCAGCGTTCACAGCAAATGCATCTGCCTCCAACACAGCGGTCACAACATTTATCTCTAGTTTGGCTCTGGTAAAAAAACATTCACTTTGTGGATTCCATTGAAATGCTCACTGTATTTGCAACAGACTTCATCTGCATGCCAAAACCGAGTTTGTACACCCCCAGCTTCCTCCCTCTCCCATCTCCCTCCCAACAACTTCACAAGAATTTCAAACAGGAAAAGGTTGGCACCATGCTCAAAGAACACAAAGCCCTTGTCCTTGCTGGCCCGAGAGGCAGTGCTGCTACCTGTCCGTCAGGAACTTGTGGCTTTTCCGTTTGCATGCTCCTTTCTAGCTGTATTTATCCAGGTAGCGCAGGTGGGGCGTATCATTTGGCAAACTCCCCTGCAAGCTTTTTACAACAAAGATGATAACAGGTGCAAGATAAGGGACACATAAAAAACAGAGTTCATTACAAATACATTTGCATCCAAAGCAGCAGCAGCAGCAGGCCTTGGCTCTGCTTTATCTTAAAGCAAATGCTTTCTGAATTCCATTCAAATACTCAGGTATTTGCATACGATACTGCATGTGTGTCACCCCAGGCAACAAAATGGAACCGAAATGGCGTTTGCGTGGGCCCCTGCTCCTGCGCAAGGGCAGGCAGATAAGCAACCCCCTCTCATGACAACACGTGCTTCTTAGGGTGGCTCTTGACAAACTAGGGCCAAAATTTTGCAGCAAGTTTTTTATCTCCACAGATATTTTTTTTTCAAATAAAATTATTTAGAGGGGGCTTTTTAATTCTTAAAATCTCATTCTGTCAAAGTGAAAGCTGGGCAGTTATGATGGTTAAGCCCTTGAAAGTCCTTGAAAATTTTGGCCCCAAATCTGCTTCTGGCTGTGCCTGTGTTCAAGGAACACGGCGAAGCTGCGGAGAGGCGCCCAGCCAGAGAGGGTCAGTAATCTCCAAGGTGCAGAGGGAGGTTACATAGGGTGAACCAGGAGTTGACATTACATCTTTACTTTGATTTGCTCTCCGAATAAGGCCTATTTTACTCCATTAGCTATGAAGAAATAAAAGACCACCTAAAACATTAGGTGACAAACGCTGCATACCCACCATTTCACTAACAAGTTTCCAGTTTGCACCAGGAATGACTGAAAGTGGATCACATCTGGCCTTTACTTGATGGCCTATGCAAAGGGAGATGACAGACTCACCCAAATGGCTCACTGGAGGCGAGGGACCACCTTACATAAAATCACTGGAGGCCTCAGAGCACCTGAAGAGCAGCAATTGCTGTTGAGTGCAGTGGAGGATGTTCACAGTTGGAAAAGGTGTTGGTGGAAATGGAAAAAAGAGCTGTATCCTTGCACTCCGAGGGCAGTCACTGCAGCTGCAGCACAGCCAAGGAAGGGCATTGAGGTCCTCGTGCTTCACAAACCACTGAGAGCTTTGCTTGCTATTGCCACCAGGCCTTTTACAACTACGTGTGCTTGAAACGGGGGAGTGAGAGAGCAAAATGGTAATAAGAAATAAAGAAAAGTGTCTGATCACCTGTTTATAGGCAAAACTACAAAACAAAAGCAACAAATGCAGCAGCAACAACCTTGAAACCTCTTTACTGCAACATCCTTTTGGAATTTTCTATCTGCTTTTTGATTAAAGACCCAGATGTCTAATCCTTGTAAAATGGGAAAAGTGTGCTTTGAAGTATCCCAGTGCTTGTTACCACATGCATTAATGTATTATTTGTGGCAGGAGTGAAGCTACTGCAGCTAGTCATGCTTTGTTAGCGTACTCCTTTTAACCAAAAATTTTGATTTAATATTTTTGGTAGCCCAGGTGAAAATAACCATGTATGCCTCCATACTTTGGCATGGAACTGGTCAGGAAATACTACACAGGGGTATTTCTTATTTTTTTCATAATGAGAAGATTCCAGAATTATTCAGAAGAGAAGGAAAAAAAATAAAGCTGGGAGGGGCGTATATGTCTTGCCCATATAATTATACCCAATAGAACTATCAGATCGTGGCTCGAATTTCTGCTCTTGCCATTACAGATTAGGGACACAGGGGTCAGTCTCCCTCTCCCAAGGAATATCAAGTCCTCCAGCGCATCGGCTACTCGAGGGTGGATCCCCCTCTTTCCTGTTCCCTTCTCTATGAACATTTTGGGGGGCCAGCGTTTTAATACAAGCAAACCTCGTACATGCTAGACTTTGTGTTTGGCTATCACGAGCTAACTGAAGGTCTCTTTTTCTCATTTATATGTTGACAAGAAATATTACCTGGTCAAAACTAGTCTGAATGTTTTTTACAAGGGTTGGCTATAATTGCCATGTTTCCTGGCAGAAAACACTCCCCCCCTTGCTCTTCAAAATTCCATGTTAGGACAATTGTAACTGAATTATTCCTCCTGAAACCAGCGCTGCTGTCCCTGGAATTTCAGCCCTGGGAATTGAGCTTTATCAGAGAAGTGAGTCTGACAAAACACTTCAGAAAGAATTAGGAATCAGAGACAACTATCCTTCAGGCTTTGTGAGAGTGATTCAAAAAGGTGGTGAATTGAGCTCTTTAACACAATGATACACTAAAAATAAGAGTTTGTAGAAAGCTCTCACTAAGCTCAAATGTACAGTTTTAGAAATAACCCAATAAAACATGAAATCATTATTTTCACTGCAGTGGCAACACAAAAGGTTAACTTATTAGAATCACTACAGACTTGAAGAAGCTTTTTCAATTATTATGCATGATCTATGAAGTATTTGTTTGAAGAAAAAAATAGTCATTTAATGAGAACATTAAAGGTACGGAACAATAAGAAACAAATGTCAGTGCACTGAGAAAGGGGTCAGGATTGTTTTTTATGCAACACCTAGTTTATTCTTTCCTTACTAAGGGTTTAAATCAGTTTAACACCGTTTTGGTTCATTCTGAGATTAACAAAAGTTAATATTTTACAAGATTTATTTATAATACTCTTGAGGTTTAGAGTATGTTTATGTAACCCTTCTGCCAGGAATTGGCAGCAGCTGAAAGAGCTGGATTCATTTATCTAGGGGTTCTCTCTGAAAACCTAAACAACTGCAGTTTCAGCCTCCACCCAGAAATCTGCCGACCTAAATGACCTCCTTTGGGTGCCCTGACAAACAATAAATCCTGCTCAAGGCACAGCAAGGTTTCGAACAAGGTCCAGAGCTTTAAGACAAAGAGAACTTTAGAGATGAGAATTGGAAGAGAGGGACAAAGGGAAGAAGAAAGACTCATGATCAACTCCTGAGAACACTCCTGTTGTTGTTGCTGTTGTTTTTTCCCGGTTTAAATCCCTGCATCTGCTCACCATGCTATAACATGAAGGTCAGTGCTGGTGCCAGGAGGAACAGCGAGGCTGGGGTAGAAAGGAAAACTGCTTTGGTAGTAACTAGCCAATAAGTTGGGCTGTCTTAGCATTAAGATGAAACAGCTCTGAAACACGGTCATACTTTTATATTAATTTGTTGGCTTATCCTCATGTAGGCCAGACTGGGAGGGACCACAGCTACTCCACCCGCCACCACAGAGCTAACACAACCCTTCTGTGGGACACAGAAAAGTTAGTTTTGCTTCCAGCCTGCAAACTCTCCACCCGCTTGCTCTCTGCAGCTCTTCCCCACGGCTTCACGGCCATGGAAGCCCCCATGGGGTATGTCAAATTGTCCCACTACAGCAGTTGGCTAGGTCAGTTATGTATGTTGGGTCTTCCTTAAAGCCTTGCTCCTATATATCTGTATATCATGGCAGCTCAGGCCTTACTGCTGCGGTTATGTCCTTCTCAGTGGCTGCCCTCACCGAGCGAAGTCCATGTGCGACTCCACAGCCTCCAAAAGAGGGAAGAATTTGGGAGCGCTGCCTCGAAACAACAGCTCTTCCTGCTCTCTGGAGCTCTCAAGAGGCTCCAGACGGGTTATGTGGCACGGGGAGCATCCCAACCAAGATCGGGAACCCCATGGGGATGTCTCGTCGTGAAATGGAGACACAACGTCTGGCTGCACACGGACACCTGAGGTCGTCTCACAACCTACCAGCCCTGACCCTTGCAGATTCCTCCGGTTTGGGGAAAAAAAAAACAAACAAAACAAAACAGAAGCAAACAACCAACCCCCCAAAACTCAGGAGTATCCCATTTCCAAATGGGCTGAGGGCTGCGGACAAGAGCAGCCAGCGCGGGCCGGGTAAACTGAGGCACCAGCGGCCATTTGCAGGACAACAAAAGGCTTCATGGCTTCCCGCAAACGCTGCGGTCGAATCGCGCGTTCTGGAGTGCCACCTACTGGCATTTTGTTTTCCCAGCGAGCCTTTACCCCGCGCTCGCGTGGGACTCCTCGGCGTTTTCCCCGGTCACCTGCAGGCTGCGCAACGCGGCGGGCGCCGGGACGCGGCCGCCCCGCAACCGGGAGGGCGGAGCGCAAGATGGCGGCCGCC